GGGCTGAATTGCACAAAACGCATGATCGCACCGGCTAGTCTGGTGCGCGTTGCCATTTTTTTTTTTTCACAGAGCGAGCATTTACCGAAAAAGCGACCGGGCTTCATGCAAAAAACCGGTAATCATGCACCTGGATGTCCGTGCGGCTATAATGCACCACCTTCATCCCAACTGGCGCCCTTCCTCCTGCATGCCGGAAAGGATCAAAGCACGGCCAATGTGACCCACGTGTTAGGCTACAGCGTAGGGATCATTCTTCCTAAAAGGGATCTGCGAGTTTAGTGCAAAAACGCATGATCACACCGGAGAGCCTGGAGCGTTCCAGCCTGAGTTATACTTCCCTTCTTGCTGTGGAGTGTCTGAGCAGACCTCCTCTAGCTTTGCTGGTAAAATCGTGGGAGGGGAAAACATTTCTTCAGAGGTAAAGCTAACAGTTCGTTGAAGGAGTGAGGTTTGATATGGAACATACTGATTTTTGATGCAGAAAATAATTTTTACTTTTAAAAGAGCTCGAAGAAACATATTTTTTAAAGTGGCATGGTGCTTTCAAGGAAGGTAAATTATTAAAATTGCTCATTTGGAAAGACCGTAAAATGAAATATTGACCTGAGGAGCACAAAAATGTACAGTGTGGTGAATGAAATTAAGTAAGGCAGAGCACAAACTTAGGTAAGCTCAAAATTTATTCAGTGGGATACAACATTTGCGTGTGAAAGCATTAAATAAAATGGCTGGTGGGCGCTATGTATAAAAAAGGACAGAAAATGGGCTGAAAAACAAGATACCTCATGCTATGGCACCGAAAAACGCCATTTATCACTCTTTGTGAAAGTGCTGGGCTTAATTATCAGCTTTGCCAGAAACTAGTTGAGCCACATTTGCATTGAGCTGCGTTGCCTTTTCAGAATTAAGTTTGTTTGACATTTGACGCCTCCTTGTTTGTTTCTGCTGTTGTATGTTTGAAGCGATGTCTCTGGGCTTAATTTTTTTTTTTTGCTTTTCCATGAAATTTGCGTTGTTAGTTTCGACTCTTCCTTAACATCATGATAAGATTTTGCGTTTACTCATTTTTCGAATTTTTTTCGCAGAATGGAGTGCCAGGCTTAGGAGAGCCTGGTACTTCGTTCTGAGTAAACGCGTCAGTTGTCGATGTATGTCACTGAAAGAGAAAAATTTCTGAGAACTAAAAATCCTGTGAACTTATTCACTGATCATTAACACTTCTCACTATGTGCTGCCAATTGCATGAATCCTTGTTGAAAGCATGCTACCATGGGATTTTGGTGAACTTAATAAACAAAAAAAGATACTGGCTTATGCGCGAGATGCACAGGCGCGTCAAACACGGTCGGCTATACAGGTAAACACACTCAGGCCCATGTGGGCATCGAGGGCAACGCTCTTCCTGTAACTTTTCAGCGTCCAGCTGTTTTCCTTGATTTTCTTCGTAACTTCCCATTGCGTAGAGCAGCTTTGCACGTTCTTAACGATTGAATTATATTTTCATCGTGCACTTATTGGTTATGTAGTTGATGTATATTCAGTTTTTGACAAACAAAGATGCATGCTAACAGAAATTTGGTGTCTCTCGACAACATTAGCACCTCTTTGCCGGTTTTCCCGTAGTTTGGTTCAGAGATAACTTTTTCTGATATTTTAAATATTCTGATTTAACAAGTTTGCACCCTTTCTTTTACACAATTTTATATTTAAATTACTGATTTTTATGCCGTTCTGGTAAAATCCAGGAGCCCTGCTGTATATACAAATCAGGAGCCATGCTATATGTATCCACATACTCGCACTTACATACAAGCACATTCACATAGACAACTTACACCCACATATACGCACACACATATACACAACACACTCCTTACGCAGTTTTTCTGATCAAACACGGAGAGTTTTAGTGCACTTTGGACACTTCATCGTGATAGTATTTGTTCCTCATTCTAACATTTCCACAGTTTGCCCATCATCTATGTGTTTGATGTTGCTTTTTACGCGTTTTTATGCGTTTTTGCCTACATGCAAATTG